GACTCACGAAGACCACTCACCCTAAACCCTAAACCCTAAACCCTAAACCCTAAACCCTAAACCCTAAACCCTAAACCCTAAACCCTAAACCCTAAACCCTAAACCCTAAACCCTAGACTCACGAAGACCACTCACGATCAACTCACTCAACTGCCGTCCTGCAGCACACTGACAAACCGGTTTTTGTGGCTGGTGCCTGGGACAGCAGCAAATGGGGAGCCTGGTGGGGTTACTCACTTTACTTGTTTCAGGGGTCCTTTGCCTAATGTACTGAGGAGGTTTATTAGGCTTTGGGTTAGGCTCAGTATTTACTGAAGCTCCCATGTGTGCCTACACTCAAGGCTCCACCACCAGGAAGGTTGCTGAGGAATGAAAGATTTCGAGTCTAACCCTATCAGAACCGAGCAAATCCCGTGTCCCAGAATAAAACCCATTTCCGGCAGCCAAGTCTGGCAGGTTCGCTTCGTGGAGCTGGAGGACATGGCGAGAAAACAAAACGGGTAGCCAGCGCAAGATTGCACATGCATTCAAAAGATATGAAGGAGAATCGTCGGCATTGCCTGCTGCTTCTGACCACCGCGAACATCATTAACAGGTGCATCATCACCTTTGCCACCGTCATCATGACCACCACCATCGTCATCATCGTCGTCATCGCCATCAGCATCATCATCATCATCATCAGCATCATCATCATCATCATCATCATCATCACCATCACCATCATCATCATCATCATTGCAATCACCATCAGCATTACCATCATCATCATCGCAATTACCATCAGCATTACCATCATCATCATCGTCATCATCATCATCATCATCATCATGATCACCAATGTGTATATACATATATGTAGGATATATGTATATATCAAGTTTTCGTCTTCACCATATCGCTATAGTCATCGTCCTCATCATCATCGCCGCCATCATCACCGTCATCCACCACCACCATCATCATCATCATAATCACCATCGCCATCAACATCACCATCACCACCATCATCATCATCACCACCATCGCCATCAACATCACCGTCATCATCGTAATCGTCACCGTCTTCATCCATGATCCGCATTAACCCCATTATCTTAATTAATATTCACCGTTGTCATAATCAGCAGCATCAGCATCAGAATCAGCCTCGTCATCTGCAGAATCACAAGCCCTGCTGCCCTGCTACCAATGCCGCCACTACTGCCGTCGTCCGCACCATCACCACCGCCACCACCAAAACCTGACGCTTCAAACATGAGATCTCGTGGGGAAGAAAAGACGAGGGACAGCGTCATCACACAAACGCTACGGCTTGCAACACAAGACAGCATGGAAGAAATGGCGTTGGACAGATGTTTGAAGACTTGTGTATTCATGTAGGACTCTTGTGTTTCGGTTTGGTCTTAGCCAATCCAGCCGAAAACACCGGAGAGCGGAAGCACAGGGTGTGCTCAGATTTGGTTGAAGGGTCATGTTCCATCTGGTTGATGGGTCACCTTCCATCCATCACTTCAGGGTTCCGGGTTTAATGTAGGGGCTTAAATTAGTACCAAGGCTTTTTTTGGGGGGAATCCTTATTATAGCTATAGTATACTGTTATACCAAAGCCCTGTTCTAATTATGAAGGCCCCTATGTTAGGGTTCCAGGCCTGGGTCGGAGGGCTCATCATGTCTTGGGTTTCAGACCGGGCACGTAGGCTTGGGATTGTTTTGGGTGAAGGCTTTAGGGTTCAGGGTTTGGGGCCTAGGGTTTAGGGTTCAGGGTTTAGGGCCCAGGGATTAGGGTTCAGGGTTTAGGGCCTAGGGCTTAGGGTTTAGGGTTTAGGGTTCAGGGTTTGGGGCCTAGGGATTAGGGTTTAGGGTTCAGGGTTTAGGGTGGGTGAAGGGCTCATGGCGGCTCGACGACCGAGATTCATTTCTTAAGGCCGTTCGTAGCTCCGTGGCACGATATGCACCAAAGAGGTATTCCATTCGGCTGGCTTCAAGAATCGTTTGAGCCGAGCCTCACGATCTCTGGTTGTAAGGAGTGTACCTTAGCAATTAAGGGGCTATTGGTAGTTGTGACTGCAAACGCAGGAGATTTATTACCCTAGCTACTAAGTCGCATGATCCCTTAAGTAACTTAAGTACCCCCCACCCTAAACCCTAAACCC